CAGAATATTTTTACTCGTGATATATTTTAGCGACATTTACATAGCTTGAAGTAAACTTATTGCAAATTCTTTAAATTAACTAGCATAACTATCTTTTGTTTGTCAATAAAAATATTCTTTAAATAACACTATTTTACTATATTTCAACACAACCGTAGTGAAAAAAAATATATATATAACCAAACCCCTCAAGCTTAGGACCCCCAAGCGTGAGGGGCTCAGGCTGCAGCCTATACTAGCCTATAGGATAATCCGGCCCTGCACACCATCCTTTTCCCGACCTGTACATGTGCCTTCCCTTCGCCCACAGAGCCACCGAGTACCCGAAGTGAGTTCTGTTCGGTCCGGTCAGCACTCGGGCCAGATTGGTATCCAGGTTGAAGGCATTGGTTAGTCCCAGCGTCGCAAGCAGAAATACAAGCACAGGCAGAAGTACAGTCAATCCCCTCGGCGTTTTCTCTCGAACGGGGAAGGGAAGGCGCGGTTTTTTGAGATCCGGTGCGGACGCCATTCTGTAATGGGGGGTTTGAGTCAGGGTGAGCAGACGATAATGATGATAATAACAATGATAAGGGTAATAATAATACTGATGATGATATGAATAATAATGGTACTGGTAAAAATAATGGTAATGGTTAAAATAATGTAAAAATAATGGTAATGGTAAATATAATGTAAAAATAATGGTAATGGTAAAAATAATGTAAAAATAATGGTAATGGTAAAAATAAGGTAAAAATAATTGTAATGGTAAAATAATGTAAAAATAATGGTAATGGTAAAATAATGTAAAAATAATAGTAATAGTAAAAATAATGTAAAAATAATGGTAATGGTAAAAATAATGTAAAAATAATGGTAATGGTAAAAATAATGTAAAAATAATGGTAATGGTAAAATAATGTAAAAATAATGGTAATGGTAAAATAATGTAAAAATAATGGTAATGGTAAAAATAATGTAAAAATAATGGTAATGGTAATGGTAAAAATAATGGTAATGGCAAAAATAATTATAACAATGGTTGTGATTACAATTATACTGATGATAGTGTCAGCAATGATGATAAAATATGTAACTAAAATATACAATATTGTGTAAAAAAAAAAAAAAACTAGGAATGTGCATGAGTGATTATAGTTTTCTTATCTTCTGCATGACAATTTTCTTTGTGAAATAATTCATTTTCACGTTTAACTTTTCTTTATTATATTTCTTTCTTTGAACAGCTATTCGTCTTTTTATAATTACGCTTCGTATAAAGCTTCAAGCTATCGTTTTATCATCATCATCATCATCACTGTCACCACTCTTACCGCCAATTTCATCACATCAGTGTCATTATCCTATCTTGGCAATCATTACTGAAGTTGATTCCATTTTTACCATCACTATATCATCATCTAAGTTATGAAGCCTTATTCTAGATTAAGGAAGGTAAGTTTCTAGTAGATTTGCCACACATACCCTGCCATACCCGACTGTAGTCTACCATACCTCAACATACCAACATATTACTATCATTCTATGTTCTCCAATATCATAGAGGGTCACATTAAGGCGCGCACGCACGCACGCACATACACAAATCAGGGATCAGTCTGGGGAAATTCACATTTTCTCCCGTGAAGATAAAACCGACAAAAGGTTCTACGTAACCGAGACTTGTTTAGACAGCCCAATTATGAAACACTAACCTGCCTCGTCATATAAACGGGACTGGATATATATATGCGTGTGTGTGTGTGTGTGTGTGTGTGTGTGTGTGTGTGTGTGTGTGTGTGTGTGTGTGTGTGTGTGTATCCAAAAAAGGGAAAAGCAGGAATTTCACACATCGTATTTGTTATCATATTAGCGAGACTTTAGTCAAACAGTAAGTTGAATAATAATGTAGAGAATTTCACTCATAGCTGCACGGGGCCGCAGAGGAACGGACAAATTCCCAGAGTAAAACTTTTAAAACATATTTGAAACCAACAACCATACACCTGTACAGCCACACACACCCGTACGTGTCTACGTATCCCCACTATCTATCAATAAGTTCAACTATCATATTTCTTTAATTTCGCAGAGACCATTCCATTAACAATTAAAAATCAATACATAAAACAACAGCTGCATGAGCCATCAATCAATTACCTCTAACAACAACCACTGGTTTAAAGCACACGACACATTACAAAATTACACGAAAGGCTTAGACTGTACACCTTCGTCGCCTACACCATGACTAGCCTGAAAACTGTTAGCGACACCTAGTTATCACGTCGTTTTCTTGATAAAACTCAAGGCATCCCATCCGGTTACGTTCTGTATACTCACTCGCTAGCAATACTTGTGTATAACTTTGCATAATGTGTTAGGTGTTCATTCGGTCTTGATTTTCCCGTAAAACGATAAACTCATGTTCTTTGCAGTGTTCATTTCCTGTCCTTTGATACTCTTGTTACCCAAACACACACACACATATTGTGTGTGTATATGTGTGTGTGTGTGTACGTGTGCGTGTGCGTGTAGAGATGGGCAGTATTTCGATATTATCCGCGATACTTATCAATCGATCCTTTCGAACTGATATTGCTATTGCCTTGGCTGCATAAGTTGATTGGTCATTTATGAATTTCTTATTTGCACTTTTTATCTGCTCTAAGTATTCAGTGTGGTACAGAAAATGGATCAGCAAACCAATTGTAGATTTTAAGGTAAAAACAGAAAAAAATGGCCATATCTCGCGTAAACTACATTCTTAAAAACACGACAGAGGTGCTTTTTGTTTTGCCAAAGAAGAGGACTTGAATTGTTTTTTTTATATATATAAATGCTAAGCAAAATCAGAAATAGAAATGACACAAGAATTATTATTTTTCAAAACTTTCTGTGTTATTACATAGCAGCACATTCATCCGGCGAAAATTCACACTTGATACTTCCTTTCCATTCCTTTGTTATTGCATAATCACAATACTGGGCTTTTTAATATTAATTCTTAACGCACAAGAATTACGCACCAATGACAAGGCCTCTTACTTAGCTGATGTGGGTTTGACGCCATATACCTAGTGTGTGTTGCGTATTTCGTAGTGAATCGAGACCAACAGGAAGCAATCACTTCACCCACGTTCGTTTTGGTCAACAAGAGACAAGTCATTTACCTGATTATAGCCTATGTCAACACGTATTTTAACATTTACGTGTCTCCTTTTCCTGTTTTGCTTTGCTTGCTGTCTACCTATCTATTATAGTTATCTGTTAATCACTCCAGGCTTGTAAAATCCTAAAGTTCATGCTTTATCTCTTACTTTCCACAGAGTATAGCCCGAGTCGCCAGTTCGAAAACATCCGGCCGGTTGCTGCATTTGTTCAAGCAGGATTTATTCTCATTCTCTTATACTTATTATTATATGTATCTTACATCTCATTCTCTTATACTTATTATATGTATTCTTTACATCTCATTCTCTTTATACTTATTATTTATATGTATTCTTTACATACATACATGTAAGGTAACAGTAACGCAGTACTGCTACATAATCCTGGTCACGGGACAATTCCAGGTCGCTGTCCCTTGGAGATCTGATCTGCACCTCCCTTATTACATTATTCACCTGATGCGAGCACCACCTGGCCACCCACGCATCGTACACCGGGCATGTATGTGGTAGCGGCCAAAGCGGGGTGAGCGGAGGAGTCCAGGTCACGGCACTCGCATACGTGAAAAAAAACAAGTTGTTAATACTGGTGTATAATTCAACTATATTTGCACTATAATTTATCTGTATTTACATATAGCTAATTATCAGAAATGCAGGAGTACTTCATATCCACAGTACTTTATACTGAACTTTTCATCACTAATTAGCCAAGGTAAATGAGGAATACCAAAGCGCTGCTTGCCTGTTTATTTTAGTCGTAGAGCCTAGCTACATGTTCACCACCCTTGCACCAGTCGCTAAAAATCCAAACATATACAGTGGTGAATTCCCGGCAAAATACATAATACTAACCAGTGACCTTTGTTAAAAATCGCAGCGGGTTCGAGCAGTAAGGAGGCGAGAACAGATCTGCCGGTACTCCCAAAGTACCTGGGGGGTATCTACGCCCCCTAGCCAGGGTATTGGCTAATGCCTTGACGACATGGATACCCGTGAGTGGCTGCCGTGTCACGATTTGTGACGTCACTAATGACGACATAGACCACTAGCATGACGTCACTAGCAGACGCCATCACGAATATATTTAAAAGGACAATAAAACTCTTCATGGACTTGTCGTACCAAAGGGGGGGAGGGGTACCGTGGTAGGACAAGGAGTGGGCGAATCGTCCCACTATATACATATATTTACATACACTTTAATGTTTTTATTGCTATCATCAAAATAATGTAAATTATCATTGATGTCATCAGTATTTTTCTATAATAGTTGTTCTATATAAATTTCCAACCATATAATGAAAAGAGTGTATAGCTTTGAAAAACTAATCTGCCATTATTATGATAATCAAGATGTAATGCTTATGGTAACTGGAACAATAATACATGATTAGTTTCTGGAATCGCGTTGCATAACCGATCGCGACGATTTTAGAATCGCCGGACTCCTGTTACTCTCTACTATTCGAATGCATAAAAGCTATGCCGCGTACCCTCCCCATTAGCGACAAGCTTGGCTCCAATAGCAGGGGAGGGTATGGAAGGTACCAGTGAAACTACGGGGAAAATATGAATAAAATCTAATAGAAATGCATCTCTAGCAACCATGAATAAGTCACTGAAATAAAGATATAATAGAAACGCATTTCTAGTAACAATGAACAAGTCACTGAAATGTAAAATGCGACCCCCGCTGGAGGCTGCCGCCCCCCAACCTTCAGCCTGGAAAACAAAGAATCCACCACGTATATATGGCAGGAGAGACCATGAGGGAATCACATGAGTACTGGAATATGCCCAGAGATACTGAATACTCACATGTAACGTAGTCAGCGACGTATACTGAGTAGGGTGCAGGGTATACAAAGTGGAGCCGCCTGATACCCGCTCTCCTCGGCCACCACACCGACAGCCTAGGACGTGGCGGTATTATAGGATGATGGAGTGGAATGACACACATACATCTAGAGGACGTATGGGAGTAACAGACACTAGATGGGACTAATTATACCATATAGATCCTGTCCTGACAGTAAAGTCGATGCCGCGAGATCGACTTTCCCTCTTAAAGAAACCATGAACTATACGGGTTCGCAATAGGAGTGCTCTATACGCGATCATAACAGGAATTCTCGGATTCGAGATGCGCGGCGCATGCGATCATAGTTGCTACGCAACGACAACTGCAGTGAAAACATTCCTTGCAGAAGCTGTTGTACTCTTCCTCGTCTGGAATTAGCCGCAAGTTTTGCTTTTCGAAATGCCTTTAAGTTGTGCTGCATATGGCTGCACGAGCCATAATAAAATGGAAAACAAGCCTGGATTCTTCCGTTTTCCTAATAATAAACAAGAACTTCGGGAAAAATGGATAAACGCATGCAAACGCCAATACAAAGATGGCACGCCATGGAGGCCTAAGGGCAGGAACGTTTACATTTGTGGAAACCACTTCATTACAGCTAAGAATCGAGCTTTTGATGCTAAAAATCAAAATTTACCTATAAAGGTATTCCAACTACCAAGGTTCTGAGCCTTGGAGAACTAACAATAATCATATGAAAACTTACCTTAGGCCAAGGGTAAATTGGTTTCATGGTCCTGGATTCTTAATGCCATGTGATTATTCTTATCAAATTCCCCCTCCCCAATTTTGTCGTCTGAGGCATTATTTTTGGCATCTGAACGGAATAAAGAGGAGTAATTTTTTTCAGGGAAGCCAATGAAGAAGGATCCAAGTCATCCAGTCTATGTCCCTTCTATTTTTATGTACACGCAAAAAGTTGCTAAAAGAGAGCAAGATAAAATGAAGCGGTTTGAATCAGCAAAGAAGAGAAGAGAAAAGGTAGCAACAGTGTCTCAAAGGAAGAGAAAAATTCAAAAGATTTCCTCCTCTGATACAGTGCTCAATGCAGTGATTCTAATGAGAAGCAACGAACTGTTTTCACTGCAGCTGCGCGCGCATTCACAAATAAAAAGCATGTGACGTCAGCTCGAATCCAAGAATGGGACGGGTCTGACGGATCCTCCGCGTATGACCATCCATTACCGTCGCGATGGCCGAGTGTGAAGGTGGTCACACTCCGTAACCAGGACCTCCTGCCGCCGCACAAGCACTTCCTGGGTCTAATTAAATTAGACAAAATTCTTTGGGTAAAAAGAAAAATAGTAAGAATGATAATAAAAGGATGAAGAGGAAGCAGGAGGAGAAAAAAAAACTAACAAAAAAGAGAAGAAGAAACAGAAAGAAAGGAAAAGAAGAAGAAGAAAAAAAAAGTAAAAGAAAAAGAAAGTTAGACAATTTCCAATATATGTAGAGGTCCGGATAGATATTTTACATACTATCATGAAAATATTCAAAATTATTCTAAGGTTATATATATGCCTCTGGGAGCATTTGTAGGTTAAATACACATGTTCAATAGACCCCTAACTTACCCTGCAATCAGTCGAGGAAATACACTTTGAAGAATCCATCGCCAGAACCTTATTTTTATTTAATTATACTTTTCTCCCTCCGCTGCAACACAGAATTTTCGAATTCGGACCAAGAGTAGCCAGTTGAGTAACCTGCCCTTAAAGGTTCAATCAGAAGTCCTCTCTCTATATTTTTTCTAATTATCGTTTCCTGCATCTATCATTGCTTCAGATGGATAATTTGAATATGTCTGCAGTTTTTGTTTCCCTCGGATATATTTATTTGTTTATCTGTTTATCCATTTATCTAGTTTATCCATCTATCAGATACCTGTTTATCTATTTATCTATTTCTAGCTGGGACTGATGATTATTATGATAATGATAATTTTGATATTATTATTATCATCATTATTTAGTTGATGATTAATATGTGCACAGCTGGTGAATACAGAAATTTATAATTGTATTATTATAAACAATACCTTTTATGGTAAATAAAAAAACAAATTGAAAAATAACATTACGATTTTCATTATCATTTTGAACAGCAATTTAAACATCTTAGCGTTATTTCTTTGCCAAGCTCATTTACTATAAACTTCTGGTAAAATGTAATTCTTGAAATCTTTTAGATAGCTATAAACAGTTTTCCAATCCTCTCCTGTGGTATTCAAGACCAGCGGTAATATCCTCGCTCGCGTACGTAACATAGAGAAATATGCTTGAATTTCGCGCTAGTGCCTTGTGGGAACAGTAATTGTCAGCAGTAACACATTTGTTAACATTGTCGAGAAGCATGAGGACGGATGTTAATATAAGAAAACAAATTAGTAGCGACAGGGTGAGAACAGAATCTTGAGGGCCACTAGCATGATGTGATTTACAGGAAATAAATATTTTTTTCCGCAGCTGTTGGTGTCGAGTTCGGAAGTCTTTGTGTCAGCTGTGCAGTAAAGACATTTCCTGTGTTTATTTGGTTTGAAATTTAGTTTATTTGGTAATAATGACTTAGTACTATTATGATTGTGTGGTTATATGATTTATATATTTATTGTGTCACGTCCAAAGCTTGCATGAAAAAGGAAAGTTATATAGAAAAAATAAATCATCTGTTATGCGTTTTCTGGTATCTTTTATTTTCCCATGAAAGGAATATTTGTTAGGGGATTGTATACAAGCAATTAAAAAGCTGGTACTTATTTCTATATGTAATGTTGCATATTTTCACCATGATTGATTTTGTATATTCATGAGTTAACTCTGATTTAGGTTCCCGCTGGTACGGTCTTGGGTGATTTTGTACATTTTTTTATAAGTTTATGTACAATGAATACAGAAAAATAGAGAAGCTTTGTTTTAATTCACAAACCAAGACCCAGGAGAGGTTATGTGGATAGGCAAGTTCCCCAGACAACGTTGGGATACTGTAAGTCCCCAGTTAATTTGGCCTGGTTACACATACACACACACACACACACACACACATATATATGTGTGTGTGTATATATATATATATATATATATATATATATATATATATATATATATATATATGCACATATATACATATATATTTATATACATATATATATGCACACACACACACACACACACACACACACACACACACACACACAAATATATATATATATATATATATATATATATATATATATATATATATGCATATGCTTATTGTATTTGTGTGTGTGCACACGCGCGTTTGGGTGCGTGCATATGTGTATAATTAATGAAGCAATAGTACACTGCTATCGTCTTTCTATGTGACAACTAATTATTTTCTTTTAAGCCTCCGGGCTAGTACAATGGTAACGTGTCGGCCTTTCATCCGAGGGGTCGGCGGTTCGCGCCCCACCCAGCTCACCCGAGTCAGCACCTGCTGACATACTGTTAGCGAGTCGACATTAGTCGACACAAGCCTCCCCTCATAACCCGGGCGAGGCTTAGCTTCGCATATCGAACTTATCCTTACTTTTCTTTTATCTTCATTTCAATAGTAATATTGTAGTCTTTTTTCATGATTTGAGTCCTCATACAATTCAGGTATATGATTCATGAGCCAACATTGATGATGGTAATTAGAGATGACCTAAGTAATGATATTCCGTGATATCCCTGTTAGGGTGATTACCATGCTCTTTATTAAGGTAATTCCAGTTCATAAGAGAAAACGGAAGATCAAAATGGACAAAAAATTTCATTGTCAAAAAGGACTCTTTGTATAGAATGAGGCCAACATCGAATCAATTTACATTATTTCTTATTGATTGCATCAGTGGCATTCATTCTAACCAACATACATATGTTTCTCATATCTGTACTGATTGTAATACAGTAATAATCGTGTCTCCTGCGCTTCGATACTGTTGTTTTGTCCTGTGGATATTAACTTTCCAGAGGACAGAGCGAGTTTTTTCCATGGTAAGAACATATGTCAACCGTGATACATTTTCTCGTTCTTGAAGATATCCGTCTATAAAGACTTTTTGATAATAAAGGCTGTTTTATTCATCTATTTGGATTAACGTTTTTCATATGAAAATCTATAATGCGCATTCATAGCCATTATTTACGTTTAATGTAAACCCACCGGATGGCATGTGTGAATATAATTTTCAGAGTTGTCTGTGTTCGTGTTTTTTTTCTGCAATATCTTTATTAATAACAATTACATAATAGTACGTGACTTCTTGCTACTTACAATCTAACGACAGACGGCCTAATAGAAATCAATTAAAAATATAATCCCTAACTGACATTTTTCGGATGTGAGTATCCTCCGATGGGTGGAGCCTTAATGACGTCACGCTTAGACAGAACTGGCAGCAAGACCCTAACATCTCACCGAACTGTTAAGCCTTTTTGTTAACGTTAACAGTTGGGTTGACGTTGTCGAAGAGATTTTACCATCACAGAAAAAAATAAAGGAAATAAAGCAAAATAAAATCTTCAGATAACACCTGTTTTTAGAGTGATGCCAAGTTAAGTCGAGAGATAACCAAACTTGTTCCACGCTGACGTCTTCATATGATGATAATCATTCTTTTGTTAGATCAAATTCCTTGTAAATGAAACCCATAACATGTTATATATATATGTGTGTGTGTATGTGTGTGTGTGTGCATTTGACTAATAAAGAAATTGTTTCCTCTTCGTTATGGCTGTAATGGAAAATATGTTTATATCTTTTCTTTCATGACCCTATTTTCTGCAGCACAAGTTTAGTTTTTTTTTCTCAATATGTATTTCAGCGCCATCGTTGGGACTTTTATTCCCATCCAATTAATAGATTTTTATTTTCTCTTTTCTTACATTTTCTTTGTTGTCAGTTCTTGATTCTTCACTTTTTTTAAATACTGCTAAGCAACAACGTTTACATCTTTTTCGATTCTTTATTTTATATT